TTTTATTTTATTTTATTTAAATGACATATCATGTATAGGAAGTATAGGAAAAATAGACAATTTTTTAGTTCTTGGATTTTAGTATCTTATAAATGATGTCCTTTAGAATACATATTATTAAATATAAATTAAAATAAAAAAATAAAATATTAATAAATAAATAATTATCAAATAAATTATGAATTAGATTTTCATGATTATACACATTTTATATAATTTTAATTTTAGCATTTTTATCAATCCAAGAATTAATTGCATCTAAGGTATTGTTACATTTTGGTATATCTGTACCATTGTATATTTTCGATATCATTGATTGATTTAAACCAATTTCAACTTTGGAATTTAGACAAATTTCTTTGGCAATCTGTTTTTGAATTGTAGTTGTAATATTTTTGTGATAATCTACTACAGATTTAAATCTCTCCACAAGCATCCTTTCCTCTTTTGTAAATAGTTTACACTTTCTTTTTTGCCATTCTTCACTTGGATCATCTATAATTTTTTGGTCAGTTCAAGGAAATTCTCCTATATTTATATCTTTTTAAAAAGCATGTTTTATTTTATATATCATTACACTTAAAAATAGTAAATACATTGAAATGTGGTTAAAAATAATGAAGAATAAAAGCAATCTTAATTAATCTAATGATTTGATAAACTTATGAATTAACCCCAAATCAGTCAAAATAACATTAATTATTTGAAAATAGATGGAAATCGAATGGTTTAAAATACATTAATACAGTCAAACCTTGTTTCAATGAAGTGGCTGGACATATAAGAAAATTTTGTTCAAAATCCATCAAAACGAAATTATGTTAATCACAGATTTTTATGTTTTCATAATGTTTAACAAGATTTTTAAAAATCCGTTGAAATGCAAATTTAATTATAATCCATTGAAATGAGGGTTCAACTGTATGAATATGTGGTTTGATTTAAAAAAAATCAAATGATTTGATAATTAATTGTAGTCAGTCGGAAAAAAATAATGAATTATGAATATGTGGTTCAATTGAAAAAAATCGAATGATTTGATAATTAAGTGTAGTCAGTTGGAAAAAAATAATGAATTATGAATATGTGGTTCGATTAAAAAAAATTGAATGATTTGGTAATTGATCCTTGAAAATTGGATATGTGGTTAAAAAAATAGCAAAAATTAAATGCATAAAAATTTTTTTTGGATATGTGGTTAATATGTTAATTTATATATATAAATGTGGCAAAAATAAAATGCATTAATATGAACAAACATAATAGTATTAATTTTTTTCTATATTTATTTACTATAAATATTTCATTCATCAAATGAATAAATATGGATTCGGATATTTT